TTCCTGTCTCACCACTGCTAAAAATTGGGTCTGTGGTCTACAGCTCTATCTCAAGTCTACCTTCAAAGAGAGTTGAATTAAATTGGACTTCAAATGCTACTGGATGCCAGTGACATGTCTATACAAACTTAAAAAGCCTTCCAAAAAAAAAAAAAAAAAGTCTTCCCTTCTCTTTGCTGCAAACACAGCCGAGTGCCATGCCAGCACTCTGCAAAGAATCTGAAATGCAGCGGGGAGGGGGCTGGGAAACAAGGGAAGGAAAGATTGAGTAAAGCTAGAATATCTGAATAGCCTCGATGGTCCAATTTAGCAAGACCCTCATGTACATGCAGTCTCTAAAATCACAATAAACCTTTTTGCATCCAGTAAAAAGACTTGTTTGGTGCAAAAATGTCAGGTGCAAAACTCTGCCATCTATATGGACAAATTTGCCAAAAAGTGACTTTCATTTCTTAACGCAATGTTCAAGTCTGATTTTCTTTTCTTCTATTTTATAGGATTTGGATGACCAGCAGCTTGTGATGAGTGGTCCTCATGACCAGAATTGAAGACTGAATTTGGCATTAGTCAATTATAAAACACATTTCTATTTACATTTACTGTGAAAAACAGCACCTACATGTTTGAGGGAATAAAATCTTGTTACAAATTAAAAACCAAAAGAGCACGGCTTTGTTTAAGATGCAGTCTGTAGGGTTCACAGAGTTACCAACCTCAGAAGCAGTGGCTGTATCTGAGCAATATCAGCTAAGAGTGCCAAATGCAAAACTGAGTCTCGACTAACCTACCCAGAAGCAAACAGACACTTCTCAGTGAAAAGACTTTCTCGACTAACCTACCCAGAAGCAAACAGACACTTCTCAGTGAAAAGACTTTCACTAGCCTGCTACTATTTAACCGCTTTTATTCCTCTTCACAGACTTTAGCGTGGCCTCAAATACACTGCTAACTTGGCAAATATCCTAAATTTGCTAGTACTCCAGCTCTACGCTTTTATTTTGGCTCAGTTACAACTACAACCGGCAAGTGTGAAACAGAACATGTGTTAAACCTGTATTTTTAAACTGAGGAGGTTTTTTTGCTAGTATACTTTCTTGTAAGAATTCCAGCAGCAGGAAACACCAACCATCCTGTCTGCCCTGCTTGCCCACTCTAGCTTTTCTGTCTTTCTTCCAACTTGACTGTGTTTTGTTTACATCTCACCTCACTGTACAAAGGGAAATAGTAATTGTAGCAGCTTTAGCAAGAAATATAGGTGCTACGAGGGTACTCAAATAGCAATCAATTTTTACTTGAGCTATTTTTGTGAAAAGTGGACAATGAAGATGATGTACTTGCCACCCCACATCCACATTCAGATTTTTGGGTCTGTGAGGACCAGAAGTTACCTGCTTATTCACGTACTGTAATTTTACTAAGCATGTTAACATTGCCTTTCAATCAATGTACAGCAGTAACAGCTCCAATTTTCACCATACTATTAGATGTGAATCAAACTTGAGTTTGATTCGCTGTCGTTTCCTTCCCTCAAAACATTAATATCATAGCAAATTGTGAGAACACTATAGAAACCACAAAACAGCAAGAAAAGGAAGATTTTCTTGCTGGCAGCAGTAACGTTCCCCTACGATACGCTTCCTGGTGTCTACCACACGTTGGGGGCAGGAGGGAAGGTGTCCCTGCAGGAAAGCATTAGTTACCTCTGAGAGCCACCCCAGGATGCCTCCCATCAGAACAAGGTATGCAGGCAAATCCAGGGTTGTTGATGCAGCTATCAGGCACTACCAAGGAAATCTAATGTGTAAATATGCCTGGATGAAAGAGCCACAGACTGAAGTAATTTCCCTAACTCCTTCCCTTGCCCCCCTACATGCCTGCTTGTTTTTACCTGTAAGATATTAAAAAATTTAGAACACACACACACACACACACTTAAACACACACATATTTCAGGGAGTTTGCCCCACAGGGTGTTGCAATTAATCCAACTCATGTTCCTTCCTTCTCCCCAGTCACCCAAAATATTAAGGCTCGTAGGGACCAGAAGATAAAGTCCAAGCATTTATTTTTGTAATAATCATTAAATATTTATTATCACAAAAGAAGTTTCCACAGTTCATTAAACGCTTCTTTTACTGACAGACTATTCTCTTCAGAGTTTTTGATAGAACAGAAAGAAAATTTCTTCTTCCTTTGCTGTTCAAATAAACTATACTCCCAAAATGAATCTAAGAGACACTGCCCTTTAAACATGCTCAGAAATCTCAAAGTCAGTAAGATAACAAGCTTAAAATAAATAATGCGGAGCGCGCTGAGGTGTATAGCTCAAGTTCTCTGAAATTATTACAAAAATGTCTTGCATTTTTGTAAAAGTTAAAGAGCAGCATTCTAGTGCTGAAAAATGAGTAATACACTGTAAAATTCTCACTTAATTTCATATTATATACAGCTGGGTTGTTTTAAAGGAACATAACCCTCCCATAATGATTTTTTTTCATGCAATGTTGTTTATTTGAAGAAGTCATGCAATACAAACAAAATTTTACTTCAGCTGGCTTTTGTAACATAGCTTTGTACAGAAGTTTGATTTGTAAGTTAAGAGAAAGGAAGGGTGAGAGGAGGAAATTATCTTGAAACAAAATGTGTTATGTGGATAACATCAACCAACCCAATTAAACTGTTCCTGCTTAACGCAGGAAAATTAGGCAAACTGACTCCTAGCCAGCTTTAAAAGGAGAAACATCACAGAGCTGTAACCAACAAAACATTATCAAATTCAATAATGCAGAACTGAATAACACAATACTGTTACTTGCTGGTAGTAAGATGAAGAATGTGCAGTGGTTTGGTTTTTGGGTTGGTTTTTGGTTTGGTTTTTTTCTTTGTAAACAGTGCATTGAAGTCTGGAGCACGAGAGGTGCTACACACATGTAACACCAAATTCGGTTCTAGCTGAGCATTAGGATAAAGAACTGAACGCAAATCAGGCATAGTTCCATCCCCACATTTCATTATCAAGTTATGCTAAATATTTCTCGCACAGCCCCACCACCAAGTCTCCTGATAAAGCCAAACTAAATTCCTGCAAAACTTTATCTTTTTCTTCCAGCAAAACAGCAGGACTGTCAGATGAACTTACTAATTTCAAGTATATTCATCTGTTTAAGTAACACACACACACTCTCTTCAGGAGTGTCGCATGTCAAGTTTGAAACAGGAGCACAAGCAAATCACAAACATAAAATCTATAACCACCTCTGAAGACTTCAGACTGATTTCAAGCATACAGGAAAACTGCTTATGAAATTGTGCAGGCTAGATTAGGATACATTCTTTACTTTGCAAACATGCTTTTAAAAATATGAAAGATACTGCATATGAAATGCAATATAGGTACTTGCACATAATACAGACAGTTTTGGGTTTTTTTAAAAAAAAAAAAAAACAAACAACAAACAAGAAAACTTTTGGTCACCAAAAGTCTGTTCACCTGACAATCATGGTAGGAAGCAAGTGCTATCCCAAAATTAAGTGAAGAATACCAACTGCTATATATTTTGTTAATTATATGCTTTTAAAAACAGAGCGTTTAATAACTAAAATTTGAAAAGTATTAATCATATTATGCCTTCTAAAATGGCTGGGGTGGGAAGCACCAGTTAAAAAAAACATTTCCTTTGGATGCAGAGAAAGGAAAGCATCCTTATTTAAAACCAACTACAGAGCAGTTCTATAAAGTGCCTGTTTGAGGAAACACATCAACAGATGTTTTCCTTGTGCAAAATAGACATTTTTCAGCTCAAATCTTTGGAACATATATGCTACCCAGAGTTTGTGTTCATGCATTACCTGTAATTTCAGTAATTTTAATAAAACTTCTAATCTGCACCACCAGAATTATTTTCATTGATGCAAACTGTCCACTACCCCCAATTCAGCTTTGAGGACTTGAGCTAAAAAAATGTCATCAGAAAACTCTGGGTTTTGTTTTCTCATTTCTTAATTTTTCTTTCAACTCATTTGCCCATTGTGCGTGTTTACCTTTGACCGTAAAAGTTCATTAATGAAGGCTATATGAAATACATTCTCTCCTAGGGAACAGCAAAACCACGTTGCATACCACAGTAAGACACTTAAAATTTTAAAAAGCAGCATTTAGGATCAATCTAAAGCCTGACAGAGATCTGTCTCCACTTTGAAATGCAAAACGCAAGACCTCTGGAAACGGCTTTATTATCAGAGAGTGGATATTTGAAGTGTTTTGAAACTTAAAAAGAAAGGTGCCTAAAAGTTAACGAAAAGGAAGCTGAAGCAGCCCAATTTACTGCCACTTTCAGTTTTAGGCTCAGGTCCACCTATAGCCAAGCACAGACATTACAAGAACAGAAACTGCAGAAAGAAGAAAAAGCCCTCAACAGCCTGAGCCCGCCTGTGCTGCAATCACTGCAATGCAGCAGAGCCACACCAACACTACACAGCAGTTAGTTCAGTTACAGGTAAGGCTCTAGCTATGGCAGCAAGGAAAGTTAAAATGCGTACACCATCCCTCTCAGTCTCACTGTAAACTGGCTACTAAACTGTGTATCATTGCCTTACTAATACTGGATTTAAGCTTTTCAGTGCCAAGATCCATTGGCTCCAGCTGGAGTTCTGATCAGGGCCACAACAGAGAGTACAGGTATCTCTTTATAAATCAAGGCTGCAGGTCAAAATTTCCAATGAACAAAGAAACAAAAACAACCACTCCAGAACACCACCAGTCCTTCCCCTCAAATTTGCCCTCCCTCCCAGCCCACTACTATTTTGGCAGTCCATCATCTCTTCTGTGCGTAAGAGGAGTTTTCACATCTCCAAGCAGGAGTGGAGAAAATTAGTACAATGCTTACGAGAACAAGTATGAATTATATCTAAATCAAGATAACAGATTTTAAGTGACTTAAATAAAATACATATACATTAAAAAAAATAATTGCCCATTTCAGAGAGAACAAGCCAAGTGCTTATTTGATCTGAACTGCATCTTGTAGGAAAGGTATTCTGAATGTACCAGTGCACAGCTGGCCTGACCAGCCAGGAAGTTCATGCTGCAAAGGAGTCCTTCTTGGATAAAACGTGTAATCAGGCTCATAGTTCAAGAGACAACTCAATGATGCCATGTAGATATCTGCAAATCTAGACAGACGTCTTAGGAAATAAGTTGGATTCTCATCAGTTCTGAATAAGCTTCCAAACTGCGCATTGAAGAAATTCCTGTTCATCTCCCTGTTCCCCCAAAAAAAGAAAACAAAGAGAATGAAGTGAACATACCTGCACACACCTTTCTACCAGCTAGCATCCTGAACCTGAAGCAAGCAGTTCATATAATCTGTTCTATGCATTATTCTCTTGCCATTGCACTTCAAACCACTTAAATGCACCACGTAAGAAATTTTTGCACCTCTTGCACACATGTAGCCCAGATCTAGCAATCACAGTAGCGAACAGAAGAGCTTCACACTTCTCCCACTAAAACGAGTGATAAGTTGCTTCTGACTTCAGAAACACAACATCTCAAGCTTTATTTTCTAGACATTGTGAAAGATGACTTTTGCCTTCATCTAAATCCTAATGAGATCCACTTGACCCAAAGATAAAAGACTCTCTAAAAAAATGCTAAGATTTGGCTTAATGTACACAAAAAGTATAAACACATCTTGGAATTAACTTCTGTTATTAGTCACTGCAAAGTACCATTTCCATTTCATTTACTTCCACATTTCTGGGGAAGGCTGCTGGTGGTACAGCTGCTGACCTTGCCAACTGTGCACTCCAGACACCCTGCATTCAGGGATTGCTCCTTCATGACAGTAGAGTTTGAGGAGTTTTAGCCCTATTACCTATCTCTGTGAGGAGTCCACTGCTAAATCCAGTCTAGCACAGAGCCCAGTTTCTGCATATTCTAAGATGTATTGTAAGCAACCTGAAGCAATCATCTGAAAAAAACTGAAGTGACCTAAGTCTTGATACAGAAACACATTTTTAAATCATGCAGAAGTTAAGCTGTGTAATCAATAGCAATGGTGACAGCTGAACACAGAGGGACAGGAGACCTAAGACAAAAAGTAAAAGTATTTGATCTGATGTTACCCTTTCATGCAGAAAACTAATATCTGTTCCAAAGAAGGGAAACAGGGAAAAGGGGTTCATATGCACCAAGTGTCAGAGGAAAGAAGAGCTGCACAGGTAGAATATTACTTTATGCAGATAATTTTAGAAGGTCTGTAAGTACCAGAGAATATAAATCAGGGATGGACAGAAATTCTGAAGAAACCTGTGGAAGAAATCACGTAGAACGCTTGGCTATCATGAAGCATATTGCAAATTCTTCGTCCCCCATGTCTTACCTCATTTCCTTTCTCTCCTTCTTCCATTCTTCTAAAATCATTTGTGAATCAGGATCACGGTGAACCTGGAATGTAAAGTATGGATGACAGGTAACTAAGGATGCCCTTGTAAACGAACCTTTCCATTAATCAACCCTTACCAGCTAACAGTACAAGAGCAATGCTTCAGAGATCAGTATACAGAAGTTACCCACATGCACTTTAAGCAACTGAAAGCAGGAATCAATCCAGGCTGACAAGTGGAGGAAGGGAACAAGATTTTGGTAAAACTCTTATTAACTAGCCAAACAAATAATTGCATTTATTTATCTACAGTCAAAGTGGTGAACTTTAATGAGACAGAAAGCACTTGCAACGTCAACATCCAGCATTTAGAAACTTGGCTGGATCCCTTCTGCTATACAGAGATGATTACACACACACAGAACAAACCTGCATGTGTTCCAGTAATCCTGTCAAGGTTTGCAGCCAGGTCATGGTTTGAATGTACTTCTCTGTGTTCATGATTTTAATCTCTGATCGTAACTCTGGAATAATTGCACCAGTGCGCCAGCCATGCTTCAGGGTCAAATCCTATTTACCAAGAAGAATTACAAAATACAAGTATTAGTCTTAAAAAGAACTACTTAAAAGAACTGAAGAATTTGACCATTGTTTATCCCAAAGGGGCACTAATTTAATTGCTTGTTATGTGTAAGAAGAAATATTAAACAGTGGGACTTAACTGTGCCAATAGGCAACAGATTTTAATTTCAGAGTAAGCTTCAAATCCCACATTTTTAAAGAGACAGAAACAAAGAACACACAAGCATTTGCAAATAAGCACTAATTCATTAAGTTTAAAACAAACACTAGGAAATTACTCTTGTGGATGAGAAGTATCTGGAGGAAACTGCATGTTAGGTTCGTGGTATTTACCCATACGCTCAGCTGACAGAAGGGTCCTATTGGGACCCCCAGCTATTCAAGCTCCTGGCAAGTACAGGATGAAGCAGCTGCCACCTGTGCTCTTTCCTCCACTGTGCCAGAAAAGAACGGAGCTGCGTCCTCCTTCCTTTGGCCCTCAGCCTTCTGGAGCACCCAAACTACTCTTCTTTTTAAAAGCAGATAGGGGCAAAAATGTTAATATCTGCTGCTGCTGAAACATGTTACCACAGCTTCGCAGTGGAAAGTCATATCCAGGCATTCATATGCAATCACTTACAAAAGACTTAAGCGGTGGTCACTTACTCTAAAATAACAGTTAACTGTACATTGGTTCGTAAGGTAGTAAGAAAACACCTAGATAGTGGGGCTACAAACCGTAGCAAGATCTTGGGAAGAAAGATAGTTTACCATTAGTGACAGGAAGATTGCCTCCTGCATTCAAAACAGAAGTTCATTCAGCTCTTACTATATTTGGCAGTAAATTCATCCATATCAGCCACATCCTGTAGGTGTGGATATCTGTGTTTACTCTCTGTTACATCTGACACAACCAGTATCTGGATCAGGAATACCAACTCACACAACTTAAACAAGCTAAATGCTACACGTCAGGTGGAAAGTATGGGCAGCCTTTTACAGCACCAATTTTCTTCACTGCAAGACAAGCAATATGGCTTAACTACCAACTCAAATTTTGTTGTATTTAGAAATCTCAAATGAAAGCGTGTTATATTGAATCACTAGGGAGGAAGAAGAGGAAAACAATAAGCCTCATCTTTTATCCTGTTTCGTGAAAGTAAACTACTTACAGCCAAGTCACTGTAAATGTGATCGCCAAAGTAGAGAACCTTAGAGCCCCTCCAGCCAGTCAGCTTCAGAAATTCGTACAAGTTACCCTGCGGAAACAATGACATATTCATCGTAGCAGCATGCAACTTGCACCTTTAAAAGCCTGAAAAAGGAATTCAGTACACCCCTAAAAATATTTTCAAATCAAGAATCTTGTCCTCAGTTTATATATTAAAAATCCCAAATTTTACAGGCAATCTCAGTAATACTATCACTTCAAGAGGCAAGTAAACTGCAGACGTACAATGAATTTGTATCACTTCAATCACTAAAGTACTCTTAAAAAACATACCTAGTTTTTAGAAACCTTTATGATGTCTAAAGAAGCTTGGGATTCTAGAAAATAGGTATTAAATTCGAACTGAAAGAGTTTATTGAAAGCGTACCTGTTTGTAAATCTGACCTTTCTGCAGCTTGTGAATTTTGTCCCAAAGCAACACTCCCCTTTCATTCACCTTCCGAAACGGTCTAGAATAGAATTATATACAATCGTTACATTGCTGTGGAAATTCTGTCACTTTTTAGGAGGAGATTAGAATTTTGATATTAAAAATACTCGTCCTTCAAAAGGAAAACATGCTCTCTAGCATCTGAACATTTTGTAATAGAAAAAGCAAAGCTCCAAATCTTCAGCTTTAGCCAGTGAAATGCAATGTATCTATCCAGTATACTTATGGTGTTTACAACAGAGTTTGAGAACAACTGTTGAGACCTAAGGCAGGGATCCCAGACAGAGGGGAAGAAACAGAGTGAACTGTCTGCCATTAAGGAGAAAAGACAACACGGAAGAAGTGAAGATGTGTAAAAATCTTGCCCAGTACCTCATTTTGTACAACTGAACAACTGAAGAAGAAGGGGGCAGAGGACTGGGGGCCAGACGTAAAGTTCTTTTTAAAAGTAAATGAAAAAAAGGGAAAAAAAAATCCCACCTCCCTCTATCTCACTTTCAAATCATAAGTACACATAAAGGAATAGGCCTTTTTCAAGTGTAAGAGTAGTGCATACACATTACAAATGTGTTTAATTGAACACCTAGTCCAAATACTCCAGTCTGTCAGCCAGTCTGCCCTTTAAATATCATGTATGACTAAACAAAACCAGAAGCAATGAAAGACATTTCCAGATAAGGGGCTGGTTCTGAAAGGCACCAAAATTTCTCAGGTTTATTAGGAAAGGAACACACTTCAATTTACAAGCTAAGATGTTAAAAACAGCTTCTGTGACCCTCAGTCCAGTAGACCTGTAATAGCTACTGGAACTTTCTTAGGTAAGAAATAGTAAATATTTGAACTTCAGAATTGGGTGTTGCTGCATTCTGTAATGACCTTAAACAGCATTTCATCAAATACGATTTCATTTTTCATTGCATCCAAATGAAAATATTTCATAACATGCTCTATAGTCTTAGATGGAATATGCTGCTAGAATCATTCTTTACTGACTAAATACCCACCTTCGCTTATCATTGAAAAAGTTTGGCTTATCAGCCTGTACAATGACCACATCAAAGAGATCCCTCCAGTCCTTGCCAACTATGAATTTCATGCCTTTGTCCCTAAAAAGAACAGAGGCATATTAACAGTGAAGCATAATAGAAATGCAGTTACCTGTGCAATACAATGAATTACATTCAAGAACCTCATCCTCCCCATCCTCTAAAAATGTATAGTTGAACAGCAAACAACTATTCCCTTACACGAAGCTGCTGGGACTGTTTGTGATGAGAAACATCTTCTTGCCATGATCAGCCAGCTTTGCTAACACCGCACGAGTTTGTTCAGCATAGCAGATGTATTTCTCTGTGAGGATTAGGGAAAATACAATATTAACTGGAAAAGATTTTCATGAGAATTTTCTCTTCATTCAACCAAGGGTTCAGAACATAAGGTTATACCTAACAAAGGCACCTTAGAAAAGTGGCAATAACTCTTTCAAACTTTAAAATTTAGAATTTGTAATCCTAAATAAGGAAGCCAGAATCCTAAATAAGGAAGCCAGAAAGATCATTATACTATTGGTGAAAAAAGCTTTGACAGATGATCTCATTAGTACTTACCAATATCTGCTTCAATTGCTCTGTACATTATTCCTTTGATGTGGACATCCCTGATTGAATCCTGTCAGGAAAGCAACAGAGCACTAAAGAACCGAAAAATCTTTTCAAGTATAAAAACCGTGCTCACTGCATAGCAGTAGTAATTTGTTTTTAAAACAATTCCTTTCTCTGAATTACACTTTCAGCTTTACAGAAATGCCATGTGATGTTCATGATACGTATGTCACCCCTAGACAAAGAGTAAGCCTGTCCTCCAAGAAACTAACTTCATACTTTTGGGAGTACAAACTGTATAGTGCAGGGGTTGTTCTACGTAACAACTGTGAAAGGGCGCTCAGAAGGGTGAAGTGGGATGAAAGCCCTCTGCAGAAGCAGTCATCACAGATTTCCAATGACCTTTGGAGCAGAGCACATTCCTTTCCTCTTGGGGGAAAAAAAAAAAAAAACACCAAAACCAAACAACCCAAAACCAAAAAGTTAAGCCAGACAGATTTTAGATTATGATCACTCACAAATGCCCCGGTTATTTAAAAAAGTAATTTATTAACAGATGAAAGAAGCTAAATGCTTAAGTAAGTACCCATAAGGCCCTCTGAAGGCATTTGGCAGCTCTCCTGAGCCAGCTCTACACTAGACTGCTTTGTTTAGGACAGCGGTGCTGCCATTTTGGTACTTACATGGAGTATGTCCTCAAATCTCAAAAAAATGCCAGTATAGGGCTTCCAAAATGTTGGTAATGCTGAGCAGTAGTACAGAAGTTTCTACAAAAACTTCAGCAGAAACCACAGGAACTAGCCTTCTGACTCTATGTAACCATAGGCAGAAGGGAAAATTACTCTGGAGGTCAAAAGTTTCTTAAAGCCCATCTGATGTACTCGGGAAAGTGAGAAACTCAACATTTGGGTGCATCACATATGCTGAACAACTACACAAGTTTAATACATGTCAACAAGGGACCAGGAGAAGGTTTTGGATGGAAAGCTTGTACAGACAAATACCATCAACTTGGGCATGACCTCTTCTGTTCTTAAATAACCATGACATAAAATTATCTCATCTGCAGGACACATCCTGAGGAATCAAAACGGTCAAATTACTCTAGTCATGACTAGATTTTCTTTAGAGGAGGAAAACAGGCAAAAATACATATGCCAAAAGCAAGAGACAGCAAATGATCGTATACTAGCGAAGATACAGAGGCAGTACAACTGAAAGCTCCAAACTAGAATTCCCTCTTACAATTCCTGCTAGTGAGAAAAGTATACCTTTAACAACAATCAAGAGAAGTCTTATTGACATACAAGTGCTTCTTCGTTTTCCCCCATCCGCCTCTCAAACCTACAAAAAGAGCAACAACCCTAGAACGTAAGATTTAAAACAATTTTCAAATTATTCTATGTTTATTTTCCAAGGTCTACCTTCATTTTACTTATGTTTTTATGGTTGTATAGTAATAATTACCCTACACAAAACCTAAAGTTGAGGTATTTCACTGGAGCTGATGCAACAGGTTGAAACTTCCTGAAGTGCTCACAGAGAAGACGCACAAACATAGAGGTTTACCTAAATCTTCAAAGCTAGTACCTTGACATCTTTGTACAGATGAACAGGCTCATAGTCTATGTTGTTTTTCAGAAAATATTCATTCACACAAGAAAGAAGTGTCATTTCTGGCAAGGAAAATATATCCATGAATTGCTTCATTGTATTTCCGTGTGAGCTCTACAGGGGTGGAAAGAAAAAAAAAATAAAAAAAGGTCAGGCATTTCTCAGATTAGAACACTTTCATTCATCCAGTATAAACACTTCAGCTTAGTTGCAGATACACTTTTGCCATCGCTGTTCACACTGCTTTAGATTCTTTTTGAACTAACACACTTTCAATAAAATAACTCCAACAAAAGTGTTGGCTTTATTTTAAGAATTAATCATGACTCATTACTCTTAAGAGCAGTATTTTAATTCATAAGCACACAAAAGACAGTGCTCAGCTAAAAATCAAGAGGACTTAGAAGCTTCACTGGAAGTCCACACTTCTATAAATAAGAGGCAATGGGTACTACGACAGGGGGGTGGTTTTGTTGTCTTTTTTCTTTTTTAAATAAGCGGAATACTGATTAGGACTGCAAAACAATTTACCTCCTTGAAAAGAAATAATAAAAAGTTGTAAGAACCTACAGTAACTACGCAGTAACAGAGGAAAAGATTTCTAGTCTACAAAAGCTGTAATTATAGTTAAGTTTCACAAAAGTAGAGAATCTCATTATATAAGAGCAAATACAAAGCAAATACTTCTCAAGAAAAGAGGTAAAGCAACGAGCTCAAGACAGCACACTGGTCAAGATCACAGAAACACAAACGACTGAGGTTGCAAGGGACCTCTGGAGGTCATTTGTCCAACCCCCTTGCTCAAGGATGGCCACCTAGAGCCAGTTGCCCAGAACCGCCAAGGATGGAGACTCTACAGCCTTCCTGGGCAACCAACTCATGCAAGTGCTCAGTACAGAAAATGTTTCCTGGTGTTCAGAGGGAACCTCCTGTGTTTCAGTTTGTGCCCACGGCCTCTTGTCCTGTCACTGTCTGTTCCAAGATCAAAGAAAGCATAGACCTGCACAGACCAAGGCATCCCACAAGGAATGCCAGGGCAATATTCAGAGCTGCTGCAGAGACCAGATTTGGGAATTCTAAGTTCAGCTCCTTAAAATAAGAACAAGTGCAAGAACAACAAAATGCTCCACAGCACAAAGAAGGATCTTTTATGTCAACATGGAATTAACATCCGGAAGTAAAAGGGGTAAAATAAACTTGTTTTTTACTAAAAAGACAGCACTGTTCTTCATTTGGGAAAGAGGAAGGAACCTACCAGCAAGATCAACTTCCCCCCACAAAGTCAAATCCTAAACTTAAAAGCTTTGTCTTTTATCATTCATCTTTTACCAAATCCTCTTACTGTCACTCTGCCAGCTGGTATGCAAGAGATGCCTCCATACATTTACTTGCTGCTACATCAGCTAAGCCATTAGACCACCAGGAAGAAGTACATAGCCAAGCTAAGGCACAAGATATGGTTCGTTTCCCAGCTTTTATCAGATTTGCTGTGCAACACTGAGCAAGCCACTTGATTTTTCTATGTTCTGCTTCTCTGTCTGTATGACTAGGCAAAGGAACAGTGAAAGAAGAAACTAGTGAGTGGGAGAAAGAAAAGATATTTGTCGCTTTACAGAGCAAACTTCACATCTAGCACTGTAAGTCAGTCATGTATTGAGAAAATATAACTGCTAGTAAGAACAAGAACTAAATGCAAACACTACTACCCCCACCCCCAAAAAAAAAAAAACCACCCCCAAAACATTTTTAAGAGCAGTTCGTGGTTTTACCTTTCCATAAAAGTCACTCATTTGTTCTAAAGGGACATGGGAACCATCATACATTGCAATAACTTCTTCATCTGGGACAACACTGAGGCCTCTGGAAAACAACATTAGCTTTAGTTCCAAAGACAGATTAAAATTTTCAAGTATTTACCAAATGAAAGTCTGACAGACTAACACTTAGATCCGGAGCTTATTAAAATACTAATAATGTCATAGGAACACTTTAGTCTGTAAGTTAAAACAACATCTTTCCTTACAGAACAAGTAACATTTTAACAGGCTGACGCACACGGAACACATTCCAATTTTAAGTCCTTTTTACTTTCTTACGGGAAAAAAGCTAATTAGTCTCCATTGAAACTATGCCTCAAGGGTTTGTAAGAAGTAGTTAGAGCTTCCAGTTTCTTAACACAAAGTAATTCCGCACTCTGCCTTTGTTTCATACAGCACTGATGATGCGATAGTGTTTAAACCAGATTATTCTGCAGCATGACCTTGAAGAATCAAGGGAAAGCAAGCCATACACAACCTTTAACTAAGTAAGAATTTCTTTTAAACTGTATCAACAGTTCAATTTCTCAAAATTTAAGATTACTTGAAGGATTGTTGACAAGTAATTAAAATATAAAAATATAACAACAAATGGTGAAGGAGGAGACATCCTCTCTCCCCAGAGCTTCTTTATCAACTATGAAGAGATTAAAGGCTTCGGTTTGGTTTGGTTCTGAATGTTTACAGTATCAAGCATCTTGCACTAAAGCTTCTAAAACACTGCAGGCACACAAACATCCTCACCAGAGGACACAGAGGTGTTGAGGTTTTGCTTAAGATTAAAGAACCCAAATGAAAACCAGATCATCTCGTCCCTTTTTTCCAAGCTTACTTACGGTGTTTTGCAGCCTTGTAAGACAGGCAGTTACTTCAGTGCCTCCCCTCCAGTGTCTTACCCTGATGTGTTGTGAGGCATTAAAAAATAAATTACTTAATAAGCCTAGTACCTTCAGTGTTTAGTGTCCATACCAGCTTTGCAGTGGAAAGGCACGATACATGAACTTCCTCAGGGCTGCTATGGTAGCAGAGTCCCACGTTAACTAGTTCCTTTACCGCACTTCTCAATACTCAACTTGCACATAGCTCTGTGCTAGTGCTGGTAGGACTCCAGCATTCAAGTTAGTATTGCGCACCAACATGGCAGATAGTATTGGTTTTGTAACGTACAGAGCTCAGCATCACCCACTCCACAGCAGGAAACACAAATAAATGCAACCAAAATGTTAAACACATACCAAGTAATACAGTCAGAATTAAGAAGGACTGACTCATCTTCTAGTCTGCAGACAGCTATGCCAAGTAGTATCTGAATACTGCTACAGAAAACACTTGTAGATCAGGAACTACTTAAGCACAAATCAAGAGAGGACAATAGACATATGTGAAATCCAGAGAGGAGACACGGCTGTGTAAGCAAAGCTGTACATTAGTTTTGCCAGAAGACCCATAGTCTTGACACAGTTCACAGTCCAGCTGTATAACTACTAAGTTTATTTTATTCCACCCACAGCATGGACAGACTGCTCTAAAAGCATCACAGTTCACCGACAGCAGTGCTCCCATTGCTGCTCTTGGAGATGTGCATTGTTAGAGGGATACCAAAACTGCTTACACCTCTCAGTGCAAGTGAGGCTGTACACTTGGGCAAGTCCTGCTACTTTCCGCAGTATAATTGTCCTACACATGTACAGAACACACAGAAGGCTAAAACTAAGAACTACAGATACACAACAACTGACAGCAAAGCTCAGTGTTGGAATAGAAGAGAAAAGGTAACGTTATTTGAAACAAAATTAAGAGACAGTATTGAGTGAAATGGCAGCTTTCACTCTCTCTCCCTCACACACACTCACAAGTACCAAGACGTGTGGCCTAGCAGCCTGTCCAGAATTACTTTGGGTGACGCAGAGAACAAGGGATGCCAGCTCTTCAACAAATCTCAACAACTCTCTGGAGTTTTCTTGATCAGTCATCACATGCTGGCTTCAGGTGTGCCTTTTGTACTAGAGGTTGACAGCACCTGTGTTCTTCTGCCCCTTCATTCTGTCCCACTCTGAGTCATAAGGCAACACGGCTGATGGACTCACCACCCATTCTTCTTCTCGTCAAGGTCACCATACAGTTCCAGTCATACCACTGTTCTTCCTGACATCTTCTCTCAAAGCCTCCAGCCTCTTTTTTGCTCCCCCTGCCCCCATACAGGTGTTTGGAGAAACAGCATGCAGATGTGATGGTATCTTGATGACCAGCTGATCCAGGTACCACCACGTGCCATCCTTTTGTCCCTTCTACCAACATTTCTTCTGGTGTTCTCACACATACATGTTTCCATTCATACCTCATTCATACCAATCTTCGTATTTCTACTACATACCTCTACAGATAAATGTATCTTTAATTACTTCACCTAGCCTTTAATCTAGCAAACTAGCATTTTTTAACAGTGAAAAATGTAAAAATGTGACAGCCTTTTAAAATGAATCTTACAACTAGTGACCTTCACTGAGTTCTCCGTTTCCCTCCTAACCCTGCAAAAATGATTCCTTCAAAAACCACAGGAACAGGTTTTGTCAGTTGAAATATACAAGAATTATTCTATATCAGCATGTATAAAACACAAATAAGTGATATGATGTTTCACTTGGACTCTGATGATGTATACAGAACACACATTGTTTTGGCAGCTTTAGACAGACACTGTGTTGACAGTATGAGCCTAATGCTGGACCCATGCCATCTTGTTTCCTCTTTCACTTTCCTTCCCTTCCTCTCCCCTCTCCCAAAGGAGATCTCAGACCAAGTCATAAAAGAACAGATCAATGACTAAGGCTGAATCATCTACCTATTTGCCTACCTGGCAAACAAAAAGTAACGAGTGCATTATCATCACTTCATGCTACCATACACAGTTCCATGCTAGCCCCCATAGTAAATTAGCTCAAGGTGGCATTATCTCTTGGCCCCAAAAGAAAATTTTTTGTCCAATGACATTAAGAAAGGTGCTCAGCCTTGTTTAATTTAAAATATGGTACCAAGTGTGGTGTTCATGTCAGTCAAATGCGTACTGCTTCATTACAGCAAACTGAGCCATACTAAAAACTCTCCTGTCAAAGATCACATACAGTAAATCTATACCATGTAACAAAGCACACACCAATTTTACATCAATTCAGTCAACTGAAAAAGTGTCAGGCTGTGCAGACACAAAGCAGCTGTGCTCCAACCACATCATACTTGCAGCATGATATATCTAAACTTAAAAGGTCTGTGCAAATACAGTAAGACCTCTCAAGTGTCTCTGCAACCACACTAAAATCATGCTAACAGGCACTACGTGACAAATTATTTACATAGAAAGCAACAGTGGAGAAGTCATCAGCGTATTTTTAGATGTCTTTCGGCACAATTTAACAGCCGGAAACAAAGTGAGTCAGCACTATGTGACCAACCAGCTTGCCAACTTCCCCAGCTCTGAACTGGGGGATCAGCTGTGCTGTATCAGTCAGTAGGTGTGTGCGCATGTCTGTTGTGTACACAGAGGTGCAAAGAAACCCCCTCCAGTAAGACTGCAATATTCATTCACGTCCGTGCTTTTCAGTGCACTGTTCCTGATACGAACTTAAAATGTACGCTAATAAATGCCATTAAGAGATTCAAAAACAAGAGTATACATTTTATTATAAATAGGAAATAATTTTATCTACCTGTAAACTGTTCCCAGCTGAATATAATGAAAAGCATCAATCTTCATTAATAATGCCTTGCAGGGGAAAGAGGAAAAAAAAAAATCAGTTTTTAATCACATCAACTATTTGACATGAAATTATAGAAATCAAGGCAACTTTATCTATAATCTTTCCATCTCGAGAACACCTGAGCACCTTCACTTCAACTTCCTTCATAGCTTCCAAAATACTTTATCAATGGCTTTTACCTAGGGCTTGCCAAATCACCAAGGAAACTTTGTCCAGTGACCTGAGCTAGGTCATGAAGAAATATCTTTTCCTATTAGCAGATGCCTGCTTAGTTTTATTTTGTTGCACTCCAAGTTGACTTTCTCCCTCCCCCTGCCCACCATGAGAACAAAACACCCAAAACGCTTTATACTTAAGAGCTATTTAAAAAAAAAAAAAATTAAAAAAAAAAATCAAGCTTGCCATGAAAGAGAAAAAAACCATGAAATAAAATCCTTACACATTAACGCAGAGTGAAAAGTTAGTAGACTTAAAAGCCCTATTTATTTTCTTTGGCTAGGTTCTCAGCACTGCATAACTCAGCACAAAGTTATTTATACATACCCGGTGCACATCATAATGAAGTCCTCTGATTGCAAAATTGGGATCATAATCGTATTTTCTTATTTCTGCAGGATACTAAGAAAAGATGGCAATGATTTGATTTTAAATCCATAACAAAAACAAACAAAAAACGTTTCTGCAGAATTTTAAAAGCTTAAGTTTTCTATGCTTCTGATATTCACTATTCATTAAGAAAGGCTTTTTAATAGGTTGGTGAGATTTGCAGGAATGTATGTACAGTGCAAGACAAGTCAAACATTTTTCCAAAATCCAAGGTCAACGTTTTAAATCTAAGTCAAGCACAGTACCTGAAGTTGGACATCATATACTCTGTAGTGACCACCTTTGAACATTAGCCTCTTGTTCAAAAAGTTATTTTAATTTATGCACCTTTGAAAACAAACTATATTTTATTAACTTCCTAAAATTTAATAGCTGAGTTACCTTGCATTATGAAGTGTCATCAAGAAAAAGACTATACAAACACAGCTTCCAGCTCAACCTTCTAGCTAGAAACCCGAGAACGTGGCCTGATTTACAGAGATACCCAAACTTTACTGCTCATTTCTACTGAAAGAAAAATCAATACAATATCATCAATATTAACAGGAGAAAAAAAAAATCTCTGGCATTTTCAAGAAAAAAGCAGAGCTATCTGTTTTGACTCCCTAAGTGTGGATCATACTCCTGATCTTAGATTGTTGTGTTTGAAACATTGACCCCAGAGGTGTTTAAAGATACGATGCACTGTAAATAAACACCGATGGGAAGGAAGGAAGGAAGGAAGAAGAATTTACAGCAGCTAACGTTACCTGAAGAAGCCAGGCTCCCCCAGAAGGGACTTTCCCCAAGAACAGTGCATTACAAAGATCAGATTCTGAAAGAAGTCTGGCATTAATCACAGCGAGTCACTTCAGGAGAACACTGCAGTGACCCAAGTGTATTTACCCTGGACAGCATTTGTAACACCTTGCTGTTTAGAGGTGCACATGAACTGAATGTCTGTGTCATGTACTCTTTCCTTAGGTTGTTTATAGATAGCATAACCTATCGCACCACCTATTAGGGAGTTTTCTAACATTTTTCGGTACAAACCCATTTTCAGTCGATTGTAATTTTGTCCTGCTTTAAGCATAGGTTAGCCATGAAAAAAATGTTAGGTGTGTGCCTTGGGCTAAGGGTTTTGTTCATTTGTTTTTAAAAGGTAAAGTGCTTCAGTCATTTCTGGCAAGGCCTGAGAAAACTATCACTTCTTTGATTAACCAGCTGAAAGGTGATCCTTCATTTTCCTCCCACAGGCTACAGCACTCTTAGAATTTGACAAATGCATCTCAGGCACACTCTTCACCTTCTCAACACCAGTCTCCATACATATATGGCTAATTTACAGGCCTTCAAGGAAAAGTAGTAGATTATACAGCTTCAACAGAGGCTCGATTTTAAAAAAAAAAAAAAAAAAAAAAAAAAAAAAAAGGCAATTTCTCCACAAAGTTTTTATCTATGTTGAAGAGGACTTGCTCTGCAACTGCTGTAGATTGTGCTGGTATTGAGGACAGGCATCTACAGTTAAAAGAAAATAGTCCTTTCTCCTAACTTCTGAACTATCATCCCTACCATCGCTTCCAGAAAACGTGGGGGAGGCTACTGATCTGAACAAAGAACAGCATCAACAGCCTACAAATGCACTGGGAAGATGTCTAGATTTGGCCAGGGAACAGGAATCAGAAAAGGAGACAAGAGAAAACATCAGGGGATGATACAGAATGTGATTAATTAAAAACTACAGTGTACTGCACATGCCTCAAAGCAGCCACATCAAGCATGAACAAGGAAATTCAAGCATGAACAAAGAAATTTATTTCTGACTTTTTCAAATTTCTGCATGCTTGACTTTCCTACTTTATTCTACTAGAAGGCTGTCTTTTTGCACGCATGCCAGTACACATGAGAAAAAGATTGAGCCTATCTTGGCACACAAATCAAAGCTTCCTCACAAGCCAAACAAAATAGTGATAAAAATTGCACTGTTTGCTTACCCCACTCTTGGTAGGGATAGATATATCTGGACTGAAACAGCAGTCCAGATAAGGTGGCACAATGCCTGTACATTAGGAAAGAAATAAACCTAAGAGCAAGAGTTTACATTCAACACCTGCTGCCACCTCCAAGATTAGCACTAAATTGATGTTTATTCTCTTGGACACACTTCAAAATTCCTTGATTCCTTCACTGTATTTTGCAATTTCTGACAAATTACCTTACGCTGCCATGACCAAAATTGGCCATCTTTTAGGTTGACTATGACAGTCACAATGGGCAATACTATCTAGAAGCTTTTTCTAACATTAAAGGCAAGATAAACATTAACAGTATAAGCAGCTACAAAGATAGCATTAATAAAAACTGTTGTCCCCAATAAATTCCAACAGGAGAGGTTCTATTTCAATAAGTGGTCTCAAAAAGTAATTACAGCTTCATTTACTAGAACTCAAGATATTTTAATTGAGACAAACTGGAAAGTTATTACTGCCTGAATTCATTCAAATAGCAAAGACAGAGCACCATTTTAATTATTGTCGACAAGAATTAATTTTGACTCCTATGGTAATATTGATTTTTTCAAGAACCAGGTAGCTTTATTAAAGCGTATTTACACATTCTACAGAAATTGCTACCAAGACATGCCAAAAATCTTAAGGGGATCAAGTTGTGTATGCTTGTAGTGCCCATGAAGTTTTGTTTGTTCTTCCAGGGATATTTATAGGTGTTTATATATAGCTCCTAACCTTTAGGTTCAAATACGGACATAGAATAACACCACTCATTCAGATTTAGGCTGTATAAAATACACAAGCATTTTTATTAATAAAAGTTACTCTGTGGACTTTTTGTCTTTTATTTTCCTGCAAGTCCTACAGTTCAATAAACTTTGACTCTTTCAGACCACGTTTTCTTCAATCTTTTTCCCTGCAACACCTTCAGTTTCCCAAGTCACCCATCTCCCCCCCGCTTTCTGACACACAGTAACTTCTCCCAGCCCCAACCTACACAAACAACCAGCTCCAAGCTGCTTGGATGTCAGCTGGTCACAGATGCAAACACACTGCTTGGCGAGGCAACAGGGCAGTGCTCCCTCTTAGGGCACTACTGAGCTGAACACTTACGTGGGTTTCTCTTGTATCCAGCCTCTGATTACAGCGTCACTGCACACACTGCCCCTTCAGCTAACTCAGCTGAAACACCGGGCACATACAGAGCAGCACCTTGCAAGCACACAGTGCACTCAAAGATCTCATAAGAAGTCAGGCTAAAAATATTTCATACAAAAATTAATCACTGCACTCACAGCAATGCATAAAACAGAGTAACGGTAACTTTTAAGCTCCTTATTTATTAGGGTGACTCCAATAATTGACAATCAGGAAAAAAACAAAAAACCATACCACCACGTTAAAAAATAAACCCAGTAAAACTCTATTCCATAACAGTTGTCAGATTGTGCTCTGCTCAAAACTGCAGCTGAGAATAAACCAGGACTTCTGTGGTTCATATATAGCTGTTGTACAAAGTGTGTTGTAAGGGAGCCAAGCTAGGACTAAGGCATGAAAAGATGAGTTATGCCCCTCTCAGTTAGTAATTATTTATTACACTCTTTATTCATAAGTTTATTATATTAATTTTACTTACCCGATGCTCATTAATAAGAAGATCTCGAGCAGCATTGAAGATCAGCGTGTGCAGATGTTTAGAATAAAAGACCAGTGTGTAGTCGTAATCAAAACCATAAATTTCAATGTCTGACAGGCTCATTTCATTGTTTGAAAAAATAGCATCCGGATTCAGCATGTTACTCATAATTGAAGGAACCAACTCTGGGAACAGGGGAGAGGAAAAAAAAAAGTTACACCAGCCTTGTAGTTTTATTTAAACAAATATGTAGAAATCCATTAGCAATTTCTAAATATATATAACTAATGATGGAAACTATCAAACTAATTCACACTAACGAGCAAATCCTTAACAATAAGACGCTATTGAAAATGCTGTCCCTAACTTGTCTTGGTGACACATAGTTTTTATTTGAAGCAAACTTTTCTCTGTCCAGTTCAAGTAGGAGAGAAGGAGAGAAGATACATTTCAGCATCTCATTCAGAGAACCCCAGACTTAATATATACAATTCTTCGCTAACTCCATTAACACATTTCTTACTGCTTTTGAAAATGAACTTTGGAGAAGGTAATTATTATTACAGTAGCCTTGTCTTCTCCTGCCATTATTTTATCCAGCTTCTGCCCCAGAAGCAGAACTGAGATTGTTTTTGCTTTAGCATTGCTTTATTTTCTTTTACTTCACCATTTCAAGGTTACCCCATCACTCAATTTCAACTCAAATAAGTAAACTTGAAGTGATTGCCATACTTTCCAAACAACAGTTACACACACATTGCTATCCTTATTAACCTTCTAGCAAGTCAGGAAGCCAAAAATATTATAGTTATTCTCAACACACATGTACCTAGTGTGTGTAAATCACTTCCATTTTTAAGGGTGTGTTTCTCCTGATATTTGTTTGAAAAGTATACTGTGAAGTTAAGACCACTTACATAATGCCATGTTAACATTAAGTAACTTTAGAACCAACACCAGTATTAAGGATGTTTGTATTTTGTGTTCAGAAAACTTGGAAGAGCAACATTAGCAGGCTAAATGCTACCCCTCCTGGAAGCATAAAACATGGGCATGTTCTCCTTTCTTTCCTTCCCATATACTATCTTTATAATCCAGCCTTCCTTACTAGTGGAAAAAAGAAGGGGAGCTTTCATCTTAAATCTGTGCTTGGAAGGGTGAGTCTAAAGGGAATAGGCTTTGTTTGGTTACTCTCTACACATAAGACTAGAAGAACTTGGTCAAGCTCATCTCAACACCTTCAGCTCTGAGGACTGATAACGCTACGTGCTCCACCATGGAAGGAAACCATCTCAACAAGGCAGGTAGGCAGGGGGACTCCAGATCTGTTACAAAGATAGTGCTCCATTTTGAAAACTCTGGCCAACTTGTAGAAAAGGAAATAACATTTCTTTTGTAAAAGCAATGCCTTCAACTGCTGCACAGTTGACAGGCAGATACAATAAGAAACTTATACAGATGCCAAATAACAGATGGTAATCTGAAACCATTCAGTTTTATCAGATGCAGATACGCAAGTCTTTTAATTTTTGAGAGAGACAAAACAGCAATTTCACAGAGTTTAATTCCAAGTTTCAAATAAGGTCCAGCATCTCTTTCACCAAAAAAGATCTCAGGAGTTCCCCACGCTTAAGCTGACATGAAGAACTGTCTCTATCATTTCAGAGGATTTAATAAAATAAGCCTCAACCAAAACATTAGCTCCTACTATCTCCAGTCACTGCTTATAGTAGTACAGGAGATAAATGTTATGGTCAGTTGAGGTAACAAAATAATGAAATGCAATTTGACATGCTACTATTAAGGCAAATACTTTTATTCTATAAAAAAACAGCCATGAATCATCTAATTAACCGGAAGTCATAACCATAGTTGTGAGTGAACTTCCAAAATCATGTTACAACACCCATTTCTGTATTAAAGTATTTTTTCAAATGTGCACCCTGAAGAGTCAACATTTGTTTTATAAATAAAGATATTTAAGTATATATATATAGATATAAAGATACTTCAGATTAAAAAAAAGCTTGACTAGCACCTGCCTGAAAACAGACAGTATGAACAATTTGTTGCTATTAGACATTCTGGCTGGCAGACAGCATCCCAAGCGCTATAAACCTTGGGTCAAAATCAGGACAGCTTTGTCATGTTAACGCTGTAACCAAGTGAAACATCACGTACTTGAAGCCATCGGGAGACTTAGGCTGTAATAAAATATTCTGAATTATTCTAGAAGCACTTGCCTCGTCTTTTGCCAACCCACACCCACTTATTTTCTCTTAACACTACCCTGCTCTCTAACCTCAGCTCTCAAGTGTGGGTGTGGTTTTCAAGAAGTTCATTCCAAAAACAGGAAAAGAAAAAAAGATTCAAAATAAAAGGCATTTACTCTCTTCTTCCTATCCCTTATCCCACCCTCTAAAGTTCATAGTACTCTTCCGAGATCTCTAACACAGCTTCTTATCTCACGTGCGAAATGCCACCACTATCTTACGTTTGCAAATGCTATGTTTGCACTCGGCACACTGAAGCCCCAGGTCACGCTCAATACTCTTAAGCGTAGAATAAGACCATACGTATGTTTTTGGTTGGTTTTTTGTTTTGTTTTTTTTTTTAAAGGGCAAAACATGCAAGACTAAAGCATTATCCATTGCCGCTACAGGATAAGTTTTCCCACTCGATGGTGTGGAACACATGCTGCCTCTTTTGGCTCTCTAAAAAGATCGCATATTCAAGCACCTTGGTAATACTCTTCTCACCAAAGCAAGGGCAGAAGCAAGCAAGCTTCAATATCTGGCCCTTAATTTTTTTCCTAGCCGGGCTGACAAAGAGGGCTTCCCAGTCACGCAGGTATCATTAGCATTCTACCCTGGCTTCACTGCATCACAGCATTATAACGCAAACATAGGCAAAACTAAAAAAAAGTCAGCTAAACCTTGCCAGCATTTTAACTTTTTG